GAGCCCTCTCGACGCGTGTGTCCCACGCGCCACCTTCCAGCTGGTCGAAATCAAGGCCGACCACCTCCATTTGACTTGTAGGCGTCCTCCAAGTCCAGTGGTGCCCTTAGTTTTATGGTTTAAGAACCGTGTGTGAAAAGTCCCCTGGGTAACCTTATTCATTGGCTTGATTCATCTTTTTTGGTTTAGTTGGTCTCATCCTCTACCTTCACCTTCTCTCGTTAGTCCCACCATAACTAGTGTCGCTTAACCGAAAAAATTACTTATCCTGGTCTCGCTTCAGTTGAGTTGTGGTTTCTTGGTCATGGGCATCACGACCATTTGCGTAAAGGTCGGAGTGGGAGAAAATCGATTTCCAACTTTGTGCAATCTTATGGCAGTCTGTGGAATCGTATGCTCTTGAGCTTCTCAGGTCATTCAAAACCTCGTTCTTCTTTTTGGAAAAAGGCTCAAGACATTTTTTGTAATGATATTCAACGATGCAACTCAAAGAGTAACATCACTTAAACAAATCAATCACAACATGATGGCTTACATCGTAAAAGCTAGGACTGATTGTGGAAGAATTAAAAAGGTTTCTTGTTGCAAATACCTTATTAGAGGAGTTAAACACCAAACTCGATAAGCTATATATGGTTCTAATTTTGAGAAGTCTCGTATTCTTACCTTGATCACGAGCGTGATCAACTCCTAGCTAGCGATCATGTTCCATCAATGGATAATCTTATCACTAGGTTGATTCGGGTTCCTAATCTCATGGTTGATGAGAATCAAGTGGAGACTGTTGAAACTTCTGCTATGGTTGCCCCTCGATGTCGAGGGGGAGGACGCAACAATCGAGGTGGACATGGTAGTTCGAAAGTTCGTCCTCAATGCACCTATCGTAAGAGGATGGGACACACGCAGGAAAATTATTATTCCTGGCATGGCTTTCCCGCCCATGCATCTAAATCTGGAAAAGCCAAATATGAAGATTTTTTATGAGGAGTATCAGGAGTTTTTGAAGTTCAAATCTGGAAAGTTTAAGAGTCGGGGTCAATCCTCTTCAATGTCAAGTGTTTCAACTGCATGTATTTCTCAATCTGTGGAAGGCACAGAATCCATGGATTCTTGATTCAAGTGCCTCTGATCATATATTTGGTAATAGTTCATCGTTTTCCTTCATGTCCTATCCTAATATTTCTCACTTAATCACCGTAGCTAATAAATCCAAAGTGAAATCTCAAGGTGTTGGCCAAGTTCCTTTAACCCCATCTCTAAATTTAAATTCGGTTCTTTTCATTCCTAATTGCCCTTATAACTTGATCTCTCTAAGTCAACTTACTCGTTCTTTGTATTGTTATGTAACCTTTACTTCCAATTTTTTTGTTATTCGGGAACATGGTACGGGTCGTCTGATTGGAGAAGGACATGAATCACGTGATCTCGTACAATCTAAAACCAAGTCCTTCGGTGTCTTGTCCGGTTTCTCCTGTCCCTAAACTTTTGCATGATCATCTGGGCCACCAAAGTCTATCTAAGTTGAAAGTGATGACTCCTAATCTTCAACATATTCGGGTTTTAGAGTGTGAATCTTGTCAATTAGGAAAACATGTTAAATCTACTTTTCCTAAACAATCTGAAACTCGATGTAATTTTCCTTTTTCAAATATTCATTCTGATGTTTGGGGACCAAGTTGTGTTTCCTCTTTTGCCTTTCAATATTTTGTGATATTTATTGATGAATTTTCTAGAAGTACTTGGGTTTATTTGTTGAAAGACAAATATGAACTTTTGTTCATTTTTGTGTTCTTTTTCAATGAAATTAAAAATCAATTTGAGAAGATAATTAAAGTTCTCGAAGTGATAATGCCAAAGAATTTCTCTATTTTCTTTTTCTTCTTTTTTATCTTCCCAAGGAATTTTACATCGATCAACTTGTCCTCACACCCCACAACAAAATGACATTGCAGAAAGGAAAAATAGACACCTTATTGAGACTGCACACTCTCTAATGTTGAATGCTAATGTCCCCTGTTCATCATTGGAGAAATGCAGTTCTCATTGCTTGTTTTTTTATTAATCGGATGTCATCTTCCTCTCTTAAAAATCAAATTCCACATTCTCTTATCTTCCCGGATGATCCTCTTTTTCATGTATCTCCTTGTGTATTTGGTTGTACTTGTTTTATTCACAATGTATCTCCAAGTCTTGATAAACTAAGTACTAAAGCCATTAAATGTGTTTTCTTGGGATACTCTCACCTTCAAGGTATAAATGTTATTCTCCATCTTCCAAAAGGTATTATAGGTACTGTTGATGTCACCTTCTTTGAGGAAACACCCTTCTTTTCTTCCCCAATGGAAGATGGTTCATCAATTCAACAAGTTCTGCCTATACCGGTTTCTTTTCCAATTCAGTCAACATGTCATAATGATTTACCTCCTACACCTTTACCAGTTCCTATAGATAATTGTGATTCGGATCTGTCTCCATCAGTTTCTCATACCATGGATCCTTCAACCTTACCTCCCACTTCGATTCTGGTTGGCCTATTGTACTTAGAAAAGGTACTCGTTCCACTCGCAATCCCTTTCTTATTTATAATTTTTTAAGTTACCATCGTCTGTCTCCTTCATATTCTTCTTTTGTTGTCTCTTTGGCTAATCTATCTATTCCTAATAATGTTCATGAGGCACTTGATCACCCTGGATGGCGATAAACCATGATTGATGAAATGCGAGCACTTGAGCACAATGACACTTGGGAGCTTGTTCCTCTTCCTCCTGGCAAAAGGGTTGTGGGTTGTAGATGGGTCTATGCGAGTTAAAGTTAATAATAATGGTAAAGTGGATCGTCTTAAAGCTTGTTTAGTAGCTAAAAGCTACACTCAAATTTATGATCTCGACTACCGTGATACCTTCTCTCCAGTAGTTAAGATTTCTACTATTCGTCTTTTTCTTGCTATGGTTATGATTCGTCATTAGTCCCTTCACCAACTAGACATTAAAAATGTCTTTCTTCATGGTGACCTTGAGGAAGATATTTATATGGAGCAACCTCCTGGTTTTGTTGCTCAGGGGAGTCTAGTTTAGTGTGCAAATTACAATGATCTCTTTATGGCTTGAAGCAATCACCCCAAGCTTGGTTTGGAAAATTTAGTCATGTTGCGCGTTTTTGGCATGAAAAGGAGTGAAGCGGACTACTCAGTGTTTTATTGTCATTCCTCTTCAGGAAAGTATGTATCTTATGGTTTATGTTAATGATATTGTTATTAAGGCAATGATTATACTAAGATCACCTAACTGAAGAATCATCTATTTGCTCACTTCCAAACTAAAGATCTTGGTCAATTGAAATATCTTCTTGGTATTGAAGTGGTCCAGTCAAAAGAAGGTATGATCATCTCTCAAAGGAAACATGCTCTTGATATTATGAAGGAGACTGGTCTAACAAATTGTAAGCCTGTTGATACCCCAATGCACCCTAACCAGAAATTGATGAAGGAAAAAGGAGAAAAGTTGTCAGATCCTGAAAGATATAGAAGATTGTTTGGTAAACTCATTTATCTTACTATTACCAGACTGGATCTTTCTTATGCAATTGGAGTAGTTAGCCAATTCATGCAAAATCCTTGTGTTGATCACTGGGATGCCTTGATTCGCATTCTGAGATATATTAAAGGGACCCCAAGACAAAGGTTGTTATATGAAGATAAAGGTAATACTCAAATTCTTGGTTATTGTGATGCAGACTGGGTTGATTGTCTAATTGATAAAAGATCAACTACTCGGGTATTGTATCTTTATTGGAGGAAATTTGATTTCTTGGAAGAGTAAAAAACAAAGTGTTGTTGCTCGATCTAGTGCAAAAGTTAAGGCACTTGCTACATGTGAACCTGTGTGGATCAAACAACTCCTTCAAGATTTAAAATTTGTGATATTGAGCAAATAAAGTTATTGTGTGATAATCAGACAGCTCTCCATATTGCCTCCAACCCAGTCTTTCATGAAAGAACAAAACATATTGAGATTGATTGTCATTTTGTTAGAGAGAAATTGTTATCTAAGGAACTTGTAACTGAATTTGTAAGCTCCAACAAGCAACTGACAGATATTTTAACTAAATCTTTAAGAGGACCTAGGATTCAATTCATTTGTTTCAAATTTGGTACATACAATTTGTATATTCTAACTTGAAGGGGAGTGTTGAGATCTGTTGTTTATGTATCTTTTAGTATTCCTTTTCAATGTTCCTTAGACTAGGGTTAAGGGTTTGGGCTGAGGCCTATATCCTCTCTATTGTACTCCTTTTTCTATAAATACAACATATCAGTACCTGTGGTCATTGTATCAAACCTTAAATAAGTTTTCTCAAGTATAATAAACATCAAACATTGGATAAGATTAACGTTTATCCTATTCCTATACCATCCTTATATTTTTTTTCTTATCCTAACATATCTTCACCACTAAATCAGCCCTAAAAGGTTTTCCTTGATTGCTTCTATTTCACGCATTAAACACCAAATAGTGTGCAAATCATTATAGATCAACACTGATAAAATTCTATATTAGCAATAACCTCAATATCTTCACAACTTGCATCTCTTGGCATTATTGATTCAACAGCTTGTGCTCCCAAACCTATAAGGGCTTGCAATTCATAAGCACGTTGCTGCAAATCTGTAGAATGGGACGCCAATAATTCTTCAATCAAAGATTGACACTGCAAGTAGACAAGAAAGGGTTACTCTTCATATAGATAAAGGTATAAATCAAATTTAGCATAAACTTACAAGCTATAACATGATTTGCTTTTATATGAACATCCTACCCATGCAAAATGGCCTTTGAAACTAATTTATCAATTACAGAAGTTAAATAATAGATAGAAAAGGTCATACAAAATGCTAACTCAATGATCCTATTTATATCAATAATTTGGTAAAGTACGGGTTGTATCATTACAACTATCAGCCTGAGCACACTAATCCAATAAGAGAGTATCATTATAACTACAAGCTTGAGTCACACACAATGCACTCAACGTATTACAAATAATTTAGAAGATATGCTAAGGTATTCTAACATGTTTTCGTGATTGTCTGAGATCTCTAGCATTTTTAATCAGACAGTCTCAGTTGAGCCAGAGAATCCCAGAGTCACTGGATACTTTTATCATTGAAAAAAGTGTTTGGAATTCATAAACATATAACCCAAATCAAGCAAGAAATGTTCAAAGGGAATTTATATGAAAAATAAACTTTAAGATCTAATGTTCATATTCCTCTTGTTCAACATTATTATTCTAGATTATCACCCAAGAAATATTACAAACCAAAGAAATAAAAAATTGCAGGTTAAAATACCATTTATGAAATTGGAAAACACCTATGAAGGACTCCTAGAAAATTTAATTGTGGCGGGACTCTTTGTATGATAAGAAAGATGGGATAAGATACCATAAATCATGAGGGATAGTTTTTATATAGCCCTCAAAAGTCAAATCATTCATTAATCATTTACTATCACAACAAGCCCATGGGGTAGAAAAGATTCATATTTTTGAACTAAGTCTTGCAGCATATACCTCGGGTAGTATATCCACTTTCCTCTTAGCTGCTACTTCAAACGCATAAATTTTCATCAATGCTGAAATTGCATAAGCCTTCACAAAAGCAATAAATTAGTTCGAATTTGAAATTTTGCAAGCAGACAAATTGAAATTAGAGCAAGCCATAGGATGGATACAATAGAACTAACGATAATAGAATAGTTGAATGAAACAATGAAGTTTACGCAGAGAACATATGATCAACTATATAAACTAATGCTAGAAACATAACAATATAAGTCCGAACAAATATGTTCCCATGTGAGTGGGCACACCCATAGAAAAAACTATTGCATGCTCACATAAAAAATGAAATGTAATGGAACAGAATACCTGTATATCCATGTATTTCTCATGTTAAATAATGAAGTCAAATAACACACTACTTATTAACACAATTCATATGTAGATTTGGACAGGCAAGCATTTAAATTGTCAAATAAGTAAAGTGAAGTACGTGATTATTGAGCATTTTATAAATTGCAGATCACAGAAATTGGCAGAAATCCAATAATCCACTATTTCATGAAACAAATAACGTTGTGGGCTTGCAGGCAAAAAGTGGAAGTCACATAGCAATTGAAAAAAAAAAAATATAAAAAAATATATATATATATATATATGTATGTATATAAAAAAAACTGATATATTATTAACTCAAAAATTCAATTGACAAAAGACTCGCAAGAGATGACAGAGAAGGACGCACAAAATGAATAAACACTCATGGAGGGAGTCCTTCCTTGATCCTTATGTGAAGCTGTGAACAGATGTTTCCGTACAGGATAAGTTTTAACTGATTTTATGTGAGAGGGAGGAGTGGGACACTGGGATTGTGTGAAAAAAGTCACGCGCAGTTTCACGTACATTTTTCAAAAGCGTGAGACCTGAACAAATGCTGCAATCATGAACCCATAGCAACAGCAAATGCCATGTTTGTGGAAGGTACACCAGAATGGAATTGCAATTGCAGGTTCAGGTTGTGTTGATGAGGTATTTTTAAATTACAAGAAATTTGAAACGCTTAAAATTTGAATTGTTTTTATTTCACTTTTTTATTTTTAAATGATTTGTCCAATTTCTTAAATTTTAAATTCTTATTTCGGACATGACAATTTAATTTCTATTATGTTATTTTAAATATATATATATATATATATATATATATATATCTGTAATAATAAACTTTATGAAATATACAAGTACGTTTTTAAATATTCAATAAGCCAAAATAATTAATATTAGATAATACTTTATAATTTTAAAATACAAATATTGACATTTTTAGGTCAATATTGATAGAGTGGAGAAAGGTGAGAATTTGAAATTCTTCATCTTCTCTCTTGATCTACTCTTCCCTTTATATAACTTTTTGCTCTTTCCTTCCCTCCACCCTCTCTTTTAATCTATTCCTCTCTCTCTTTGTTCTCTTTCTTTCTTATGTCTCATTCATTTCATTCTCTCCTCTTTGTTCTCTCTCCCTCTCCATTCTCTCCCTTGTCTCTCTCTTTTCTCTACCATCTTTTTCTTATATCCCTCCTCTTCCTCCATCCTCTCTTTTACTCGTTCTCCATTCTCTTGCTCTCTTCCTTGTCTCTCTCCTTTCTCTACCATCTATATCTTCCCTCCCTATATCTCTCCTCTCTATCAATATTGACATAAAGAATGTTATTGAATTTTAAAATTATAAAGGGAAGAGAAGAGCAAGAGAGAACATGAAGAATTTCACATTCTAAATTCTACAATTTGGAGTAATAATAATATTTTCATATATATCTAGAATTCAATTTCCTCCTAAATTTCATATCTGAACAATAACATTATTATTTCACCACAAAGTATGTAAACTTATTAAAAAAAATGACTTACTCTCTTAAATTTCCTTATCCAAACACAAGGTCAAGGTATTTTGCAATGCAATAGCACTATAGTACCCTGCTATAGCCACTATTCAACAACATTGTTAAAGACAGTGAATTAGTTGGAGATAGAGGATTAATAAGATAGAAGTAGTGCAACGAAAAGAGTTTTAAAAAATCCAACCAACCTAATATAATTTGACTAATATCTTCATACCACATGGATGCATTTTATAAATAGAAACGAAAGTTAAGTTACATTAAGCTTCAAACATAAGTAGATTTATTATGCCTATTATCAAATCAATATCAATGTTGTTGATACTGGTGTCAACAAATACCTTAACATCTTCATCATTAGAATATGCCTCTGCAATGTCACATAACTTTCCACTGATATAAGAAGCAGAATACTTTCCATCCGCTGTTCCATATTCCCCCAGAACCCAACAGATGACCTGCAATCAGTACTTCAAAGTTATTCTAACAAACACATTTAATTTCTTCACAAATTAAAACGAGAAAGGAAAATCCAAATCATATGTGGTATAGAAAGTACTTGAAGAAACACAGAAGGAAGCTTGGGCTCTCCAATAATGCGCAAATATGACTCGACCTACATGATACAGCATCGATCCAGTAACATATTTATGCACCCATGGTGGAAATATCAAACAAACCAGTGCAATAATTGTAATAACATACAGCAGATGATCTCAACTGACTGTCTGCAGCATCATTATCCTCCCCAAATCCTTCAGCAATCAACCGCATTAAATTATGTGCCACTTTAATATTAACAAGATCTCCAGCATGCTCAAAAACTTTATTCATGGTCTGCATAATCATTATAGCATATATTATTAGCTAACAATGAATTTGTGTAAAAAATATGTAAAATCAATAATGTTGAGGCAACTACTCCAATTACCTGTATGAACCAATGATTACTTGGTGCAAATTGTTCAGCAAGTTCCACACATCGAGATGCTATATAGGTTTTGTAATGGTCATCACTTATGCTAATCATGTAATCAATCATTCTATCAACAATCACTTCCACATTGGAGGACTTGGTCATTTTGTATAACAGTTCAAAAGTTTTTCGTTTCAGACTATCATCAGGGTCCTGCATAACATTATATTTTAATCAGAGTTCCAAATTCAAGCACGAGTACCAGGAACTATGCACATAGATAAACTATGTAAACAACATAGAGCATCGTGATTTTATGTGATAAACATAATTAGAGTACTTACAGCAACATCTGGTAGGGTTCATACATCAATGAACAACAAATTTAGTATATACCCCTTCACAATCATGAGCAGTGACAGGTTTGTAAGTGTTAAATAAATATATGTATTTTATATATCATTATGTGTCTTGTAATGGGTCAGTCTTTCTTTTTGTAGCCGTTTCTGCACTCATGTTATTGCAGTGTACTTTTAGTTACTATTGTTACACACACATATATATCCCTGTGTATGAGTGTGTTTTTTCTGTTAACGATGTGTGAACAAACTCAAGCTTCTCTTTCCAAAACTTCATATTTAAGTTTGTATGAGAGAGGGTTTCAATCCCACTCTACTATTCCAGTCCTTGGCTGCCCAGCCACCACCATCTGCCTCTGGCAACTTTTCTGGTGAACCACAGGTAGTCCAACTCATCAAAAGCAACTCATTTTAGCTGGTCACAGAGGAAAAATATCTCACCTTCCTTCTCTGTTTGGAAAGTGGCTCTGAGTTCACCTTCTTCCTTGACTTCAGTTTTCTCTATGCTCCAGCAGGCATGTGTTTGTTTACGCATGCTTTGTACATGATGTATCTCCAGGTCTAAACAAGTCTTTTGCAAGAGTTATTAAAGATGTCTTTCTAGAATATTCTTGTCTTCAAAAAGGGTATAAATGTTATTCTCAACACCATAAGGTACTATATGTTCATCGATGTTACCTTCTTCGAAGAAACACCCTTCTTCTCATCCTCCATGCAAGACTTTGTTTCAATACAGTAGGTTCTACTTATCCCATCACTCACTCCTATGATGGTTCCTTCTCAAGGAAAGAATATGATCAACCTCATTCTCCAACTCACATTCTAGTTGAAGTTGTTTCACCTCCTCCCATTATTATACCAATGAAGGACATAGAGAGGCATCTCCCTTTGGCTAAGGATACTATTGTTCACCTCTTCCTTGACACGGTTGTTATTGGCCTCTTCATCAAATATATATTAAAATGTCATTCCTTAGCAGTGAATTGGAAGAGATTTACGAGAAGCAAACTCCTGAGTTCATTGCTCAAGGAGAGTCCAGTCTCGTTTGCAATCTTCATTAATCTCTCTACGGTCTCGGACAATCTTGACGAGCTTGTTTTGAAAAATTTAACCATGTTTTGCTGGATTTTGGAATGAAAGGAAGTGAAGCATAATCCTCTGTTTTTATGTCACACTTCAAGTAGCAAATATGTTTAACTCATTATTTATGATGATGATATTGATGCTCTTTTAGAATCTCCCAATTGAAACAACGTCTATTCAGTATCCCTCAGAGCAAGGATCTTTGTATGTGATATTATACCATCATATAAACCAGCATTGAAATAACAAAAATACCAACAGGTCAACATTGATGGAAGAAAAGGTTACACTTGTGTGAAGAGGAAACTTTAACTAAAATTAAACGGTTCTTAAAAGTTCACAGTACACGTTACTGTCTCCATAACAACTGGTGTAACAGTCACTAAAGCCTTATGGTCTAATTCATTTTTCTGGTGCACTTGCAACCCTTATCTTATCCTCTAGCTATATTTGTCAGCAACACTTCACAAGGAATTTCAACAACATGACAATCATGATCAACTGTCGAGACCAGATGAAAATAACAGAAATTCAGTAACACTGATCATCATTTGGTTTGACTTGCAGATTGCATATGAAAACATGAAGTACAACAAGCATTGAATGATCTACACAAAAGCTAAATGATATCAACTTTATCAAAACACAATAAACTCATCTTTATGAGGAACACCCTTCACCTCTAAGCAGTCAATGACGGCAAGTTGGTGTTGTTCTGCAATATGTGGACTTAACTTTATCAGCCGACCAAGGGCATCAATGCCCATGTACTTGAGATTATGACTGTCACTCTGCCCACATGACAGCAATACATATATGTAAAACGCAATAGCTAGATCCACCGAACATAGAACACATTTCACCAAAAAATAAATAACAAACCTTCAAAAATTTAGCAATTACATCCGCTGCTGAATCTAATAAGTTCGAATTGGGATATATAGAAGCAACACAGCATATGCACTCATAGAGAACCGCATTCCCTATGTTGGTCATCGAATCACTTTTCCTAATTATATCACCAAGCACAGTGTACATGTGTCCACTAGCCTGCTTGTCGCCACTTCCCAACAATGCCAGAATTTTTAGCATCTTAACCTACACACTCAAACACAACATGTAGCAAGTTTAAGTAAAAGGATTGAGTAAGCAACATGCAAAAACAAATAGATTTACTAGGATGACTTTCTCCATAAACCTATCTTCCTAGATGAGTTTAATTTAAGGTCAAAATTAATCATTCTAGTTTCTTATTTTCCTCTCGAAGAGAGAAATTTATCCAAAAGTTAAACAGAATTGAACCTGAATGAAGGGTGCAGGCATTTGGTGATAATCATAAGTCTTGGGCAACCGGTGTTCTGCAACCTGTTTAAGAATGTTGACGAAGCTAACAACGAGATCCTTGTAAGAATTAGCATCGTCGGAGACAAGGTTAAAGAGAGGGCAAAGAGAAGCGCCCATGACTCCGGGATCGTTATCGCACAAGCGCTTGCGAAAATTAGTTAACAAGTGGGAGACGGAGGAGGGAGATTTCTGGTAGAAACGATGAAGCGCCATGACGGCCTTCTTCCGGACGGCGTCTTTGGAGTGGTTGAGGAGGTCGACAACGCGGGGAAGGACAGCGGGGATGGTTTCCTCGTTGATAAGACGGCAGACCGCGTTAAGGGCGGCGCAGACGACGAGGTAGTTGTCGGAGGCTAGATCCTTCTGGATGGTGTTGACGATGAGGATGATGAGGTCGTGGTCGTCGCTGAGGAAGAGGGTGACGGCGAGGTAACCAGTGCGCTTGAGGAGGAGGGCGTCGTCGTGAGTCATCTTGACGGCGTGAATGTAGCCGAAGGAAGCGTCGTGGCCGAGCATCTCGACGTAGAGGAGGCGGATGATGTACTCCTTCATCTTGCGCTTGGGCGTGTCGGCGTCGTTGATGCGGCGCTTTAGGGTTTCGATCTCGCGGAGGACGATGCGGTCCTCCTCGGCCTTGGATCGGGCCTCGCCGATGGACTTGATGAGGTCCAGAAACTCCTTCGACTGACCGTGGGACCCCATTGCAAGTTCTCTCCCCAGCGTCTTCAGCTGCTCCATTTGAGAGAATTATAGACGAGAAGAATAGAGATTGATGACGACGAGAGATTGAAGATGAAGAAGATGAGTGGAAACGCACACGGCGTCGTCGACAGGAGCATTAGAGTAATTTCAGAAAAAATAATCACTAGTTCACACGCAAAACAAAGACAAACAAAATAAAGAGAAGGGATATTTTGAAAAATAAAAAGAGAGAGAGCTTTTAAAACCCTAAGAACTAAACCCCATTGCACTAACAGACAATCATGGTTAAATTATCGCCATTAAAAAATGATAGAAGAGCCACAGAACTATTCACTTATGAATTACACAAAACTGAAAAGAGTATTTATGAAGTTCTTTACATGCATTCAAGACAACAGAATAAATACATTCGAACTAAGACAAAAAAATGGAAGGTAGACTGAAAAAAAAAAAACAGCACAATGTAGCATTACCTGTACGAATTGCAATTGAAGGGCAAGGGAACAGTGTGAGCTGAAAAAAACCCTAAAATGAAAAACGGAGATTAATTGATATTGAAAAACCCTAATTGTTTGTCCTCTTCTCTGCGGTTTGCACGTAATTTCATCCCAGCACGGAATGCTGGTTGAAGCGGCAGATTTTGATGCGTACTGGGAGCACGCCCCACACGCCGCGCAACTGCAGGGGTTGACCATACGACGTCGTTCCTGGCAGGACAACTCTGAGACTGTGAGGGAATTTTGGGCCTAAAAACTGGGTTTGTATCTTATTTGCGGCCCAAATAGAATGGTACTTTTCTTCCTGCACCATTAAGATTTCGTCGTGCACATATTAAGAGTTTTACAAACTTTGTTCACATCCCACTAAAATCTTATCTTTTTTTGAAAAGACATTTTTTTATTGGAAACAATTTAATCGTCTTACACAAAGACAATTTTAGAAGTAATTTAATATTTTTACAAATTCAATTTACCAGGATGTCTAGGATTCTTAAACGAAACAATTTATCAATTTATAGTTTATTTCAGATAAATTTTTTGTGGACAGTTTATAATACATTCCAATCAATTTTGGGCCTTGAGGCAGAAAAAATAATTGATTGGCGGAGCCCCATCTAAGAGATGGGCACAACATGAAAAAGAAAATATATTTGTGAGAATCGTATACTTATAAATATTTTTATTTTATTTTAAAATACTAAAATAAAATTATTTAATTTTTTTGAAATAAAATAAATATTATCGTAAAATAAAATTATATAATAAAGTATTGGCATAAATAAAAATAATCTTTTTAAAATATAAATTCAAAAAATAAGTTATAAAATAAATAATAAATTAATATTAAAAAAAATCATGAATCTGTATAAAAACAAAATCTATAAAAACAGACAATAAATAATACTTTAATTATAAAAGTTTTTTCTCATCAATAATTTTATTTTAACACCTTAATTACAAAAATCATTAATAATGACTATTTATAAGTATGAATATTATGATGCATATATTCGTCTCGTTAAAATACATGTAAATATTATTAATAGGTATTTTTTTTTAAATTATTTTATATCGATGTGGGATTTTACTCGTTTAGTGTATTTTTAAATCCTACATTATAACGAAAAAGGTATATTAATTCCAACATATATAAAAAAAAGTTGAAATCAAAATATAATTAACTAATAGAATTAATCTCTATCATATTCAATCATAACTGAAAGCTAACAAATTGACAATTAATTAAGTTACTAATTGATGCTAAAAAAAATATTTTTTTAAAAAGTACCTAATTGGTAAAAAACAAAATATTAGAGAGGTATCAACCAAATAATGGTAACACCCTTATCAAAGTGACTCATGGATGCAACTTGCACACATTTAACAAAAAAACAAAGATTGAGAATAAGACTAAAATATAAAGGTTATTGATCTCTCATATATTTTACAACCATTATTATAATAAGTTTCATGTTAAATATTCAAGTATTATGTACAAAATTAACAGATTAAATCCATAATTTTATGGACTAATCTCATAATTCAAGTATGATCAACGAATAAAATATCTAATTACAAAAACATAAAAAATCACGGCAGTTTATCAACCAAAACACCATGAGGCAGTTTTAATTTTTTAACCTTCAATAATTTAAAGTAAATAAATTTAAAGAAAAACATAGATACAAATAAAACTAAAATAAAAATAAGAAATAAGATACACAGGTGTCAGGTGACAGCTCTTAGACATTTTAAGTTTATTTCTTTATATTTCAACCAAAAAAAAAAAAATATATATATATATATATATATATATGAAACATTTGCCTCTTTTTTTTTTACGTGGAGCTTTAAAGATAGCAGTAAACATAACACATTTTTTATAGTCAAACCGTAATTTTTATTTATTTTCCTTTTTATTCTAGATTTGTGATTTTTTTCTCTACTATCTTAGTTTCTAAATTTTAAAAATTTCACAATTTTGTTACATTCTCTGTTTTGTATCTCTTCATTTTTTTTTCAATTTTATATTTTAATTAGTTTAATTAATTCTTCATTGCAACATAAATTAATATATTACATATAATTTTACTTTGATCAAAATAAGAAACAAAAGGAAAAAAAATTAAATATTTGACTTGGTAGATTTTTTTAAAATGATTAAAAAATAAAAGAATTAAAATAGAAAATGAATAATTTAAAAAGTCAAGTCAAATTCTCAAACGATATCAATAATACGACTATATCTATAATTATATACAAATTTAGGTAACACAAATAGCAAGTTTCTACATGTATCACTACCACATTTTTTTTTCAAAAAAATCAAAAATAGAATATGTACAAAACATACATATTTCTAGAAAAGGACAAACTACTTCCTTTGGGTCACAACAACGTTGCAAGCTCAAATGTTCCCTCCTTAGCCTAAATGTTCTCCCGGTCTCCTCCCATATGCTCTTTCGCTGAGTAATTCTATAGGCCTTCTTTGTTGTACATCTTCATCATTGAGTAATTGAACATTCAGACGGTCAAATGCAATCTTTCATTTTCTATGCAAGATCAGTGTCTCAAACGAAGTATCAAATCTCTTTTGTTGCACGTCTTCCCTCAAGTAGGATTTTCATGTGCACGCTCAGATAGGTTATGCTATCTTTCTTACCGATTTACTTTTGGATCTAAACCTTTTTCATTCAAAGATTACCGATTTCATAAGAAAGGTTATTGATTTGCTTTGATGTAAGGTTTTTTAATTTAAAAATTACCGATTTATAATGTTTATTTTGTTTACCTTCAAGAGCGAAATTGAAATTTTGTTCTCAGCAATGACTTGGTCATGACAAATCTTAAACGATACAAAATAATAAATTTGGACACACAAGATGAAGATATACCCTTAAAAATATTGAAGAAAAATATCAAGATGGAAAAAAATTAAGTAACTTAATAGATCTGATGAACTCGTATTTTGAATATTTTGTTTTTGATTGGTTTTCGTTTGGTGTGGTACTTTTGCTGAACTACATTATGATGTGTTGTATTATAAATATGATGAACTCTTTTATAATATTTATGTTAGTTTGGTGAGAGATTGGATAAGTTGTATATGTTTTTCTTGAAACATCCTTTGCATTTATTTACTCATATTTACACATATTTTTTTTACAACACGGTGCTATATTTTTTTAGGCCCAATGATTTCATGGAATAATGGAATGCTCACTTAGTTTAAGTATTGGTAAGTATTCTTATTATATCTTTTTATACAAGCCTCTTTTATATTTTTGAGGCTTAATCATTTGATGAAGCAATGGAAGCCCACTTTGTCAGGTACCAGAGGGGAAAAGAAATCTTTACATGCGAAAGCACACACAAAAAAAATAAAGATACAAAAACAAACACAGTAAATTAGCGTGGTTTGATACTTCTTGCTTACAATTTTTATAAGGACAAAATTGCAAACTCTCTTGTACAATTTGTACGACAAAATTGCAAACAACTACCCAAGTCCCCAATACACCTAAAGACCGTGTTGTTGTGGTGAATAGACTAACAATATCAAATTTTTCCATGGCAAAAGTTATAGTATCTTCAGGAAGATGCTCAACTTCAAGCGTTTCTCTTAGTTTTGCAAAATATTGGTCCAATAACTCCCTATGTAGTTCTAAATAACGTCGTGAGGTCCGACTAGTTGGTGAACGTACTCAGGTGACATTTGCAACTCGAGGTTGGTTTACCGGCTTACACTAAGCACTTTCACAACTGCTCATCACTTCAAAACATTCAAAAAAAAAATATAATCATAAATAATATTATTAATTATAATAAAAAAATACAATATAATAATAAATAATTTTATTAATTATAATCAAAATAAATTTAATAATAAATAATTTTATAAATTATAATAATAAATAACAATAATAAATAATTTTATATTATATAGTATTTTAATTAAAAAAAATTATATTATTACCTCCGTTAGTATGCAGCTCCCCAAAATTAAAAAGGTATGCAGTGAATATTAATTCAAAAAACTTAATTATATAGTATTTTTATTTCAATGATTTGAGTAAATTATTCAATACGGGATTAATAAGAACTAAAACAACTTTAGCCAGTGATAGTCCATCGTTAAAAACAAGGTAGAGACTAAAACTTGCATTTTCACTACATAAGAACTAAAACTTTAAATAGAGACAAATATTATCAGGAACAGCTAACCAAGTGAAACTATGAAAGGGAATGCAGGGGTAGAATTACCTGAGACTTTGCAAGGGAGAGAAGCTCAGCAGGAGCAACATTTCCTGAATTACATCTCAAGTTTCTACCAGAAGAAGCAAGGTAGTCAGAATAGACAGTGGCTAAAAATGAGGCACTTGTGACAAACTGCATGTTGTTCCATCTCTGGCGGAAGATGAGGCCACCAGGAGTTTTCTGAACACCAAC